AGGGTGGCCATCCGCACCCTCGGCACACGCACACCATCCCAGGGCATCCCCGCTCCACCCGGGATTTTTCCCCAGGGACATCACGGACTCTCCGGGTACAGCCACCCGCAGCGATGATATGACCCAAGTCCCGTGGCGAGGTGGCCCCTGGGCTTCCTCATCAGCTCCATCGGAGATGCTCTTGGCTTGGACCAAATCCAACCTCCTGAAACTCTGCTGGGTGGACGGGGAGAGACAGAGCCAGCTCCAGGGCTGGCCCGGGGTGAGAAGGCAGGGCCCACAGGCAGGGAGCTGGGGCGAGCATGGCACCATGCCACCTGGGATGGCCGCTGCGACGCAGGGCTGTCCTGCACACAGTGGTACCCGAGGATGCACATGCCACGCGTGTCCACGGCTGCTGCAGGGGAGGAAAAGCAGGAGGGACGCGGGAGGAGGTGGTGAGCAGGGGGAGAGGGAGGCAAAGAGGGTCCCACGTGTCAAACACCGACAGGGGTCAAGTCTTTGTGCAAAGCCAAGTCCTGGGAGAGGTGCGCTGCCAGGCAGGGCTAGAAAACCACGGACTGCAGGAGACGGAAACACATCATCAGGTCCAAGGGGATGGGGGGTTTCAGGAGGTTCCCATCCAGCCGCAGGTATCGGAGCCGAGGAACGCTGTCCAGGTCGGAGGGGGAGAAGTCCTGGATGGACATCAGTGAGGTGGGGCAGATCTGCGTCCCATTGATTTCTGCAGGGAGGAGAGGAAAAGCGGGATGTGGTTAGAGGGAAGGGAAGGCAGAGAGGGATGCTAGAGACCCCCCTCCCTGCTGACACCCAAAATGGGGTTGCTTTGCTTCCAAAGGGGAGAACCCCCAGCCTCTCCTAGACAACGGTGCAGCCTCAGCGAGGGGAAAATCTTGCTTTTGTTCAGAAATGAAGTAGGTCACATTCAGCCCAAGCACGGTGAGGGATGCAGTGTCATTTGAGAGAGAAAAGGGATTATTTCAAATCTGAAACCTGCCAAGCCAGCCCTAAGCCTTCAAAAAAAACCATCAAGGAAACATGCTCCAGCACCACCACGCTGAAGATAACGTCAATAACCGGCTCGTTGCTCACTTCTGGATTTCCACATGTTTCTCCCCACCCCAGGGCCTGCGTTATGGAAAATAAATCTGGGGATTCTTGTGTCGTTACCCAACTCCAGGGACTGACACCTTACAAAAGCTGGGTAAAATAGGCAAAAAAAGAGCTGGGACATGATGTTCATGGCCATGCAGACGTCTCTCCAGGGAAAGCCCTGGCAGGACCTGGGTACCAGCATGTGTGAAGCCAGCAGCGGTCACCACCTTCACCCCAAGGTCTCCCTTGGCTCCAGTTTGGTGATGTTTATATAAAATGCAGATTAACCAGTATTTGAACGAGACGTTCACCACTGCATCATCACTTGGGAACCGACTCCGGTGACCCCCTGAGAGAAGGGATGTGGCTTTGTGAGGGTTTCATCCCTCTCCCTGGCATTGCATCCCGTAATGCTCAGTGCTTGTGCCCAGTTCAGGCAGGATCCGGCCCACTAAAGCCACTCCATGATTTTACAGCTCCTCTTTGGCATGCTGCTCCAACATCTGGAGCCATGCACCTCATTGCACAATAAACACCGCCGAGTGGAAGTGCTTGTGTGACATCGCTTGTGAGGACCACCGTCCTGCCCAACACCTGCTTCACGGGCGAGTAAAGCCCTGGGTGAGTCCTGCAGCCCCCACACACCCCACCACGGCCAGAAATCCAAGATCCCAGCGTGTTTTCCTGGTGCACACGGAGGGTTTCTGGCCGGAGCACCATGTTCTTGCTCCGCCGCAGATTACAATGACAGCTGGTTGCTGGACTTCTCATAGCAGAAACACCTGAGGTGACCAGGAATGGGTCTCTGCCTTCTTCTCAAGTGCACTAGCTGTGCTTACACACTTCCCAGGCCAGCACCTCTCCCATGAAACTGCAGCGCTTTGCCTGGAACGGTGTGAAACTGCCCCACTTGGTTTGCCAAGGCAACCTCCATCACAGCCTTGTTCTCCCTGTTCCTTCCTCCGTGAGGCTCAGCTCGGGAGCTAAGCTGGGTTATTTCTAACCATCTTGACTGCGTATTTGGCATCTGTTCTCAAAATATGTGCGCAGACTCTTCTTTTTAAATATCCCTATTTTTGAGCCCTGCTGGGGAAGTAACCATTTAGATGGCAGGTGGCCCCAAAGAAGAGCTGCCCATGACAACGAACAAGAAAAGCCCTGCAACACCAGGGGGAATTTAGCTCTACTCCTCAGCTACCACCCTAATCCTGGAGCCATCCTTCCCCACATGCAAATCCATCCCCTTTAGGGCCTTGTTCACCTACGAAGAACCTCAGGCTCATCCCACCACTGAAAGGTTCACATTCCACTGGGTGAAAAATGACATTTTCCAGTGAAACACTTGCCATCCTCAAGCCCATCTGCTCCCCCACAGACCTCACCACAGCCTCCCGACCAGCCAGCACAACTCACTTTCGATGGAGTTGTTATTCAGGTAGAGGTGCTCCAGCTTGGGGCTGATGAAAGGGACGTTGGTGAGCTTGTTGTGGGCCAGGTGCAACACCAGCAAGTTGGTGAGGTTGAAGGAGTTCTTAGGAAGCCCCTTGTCAGAGATCTGGTTGTAGTTGAGCCGGATGAATGCCAGGTTGGGGAACTCCTTGAAGTAGTCACTGGGGATGTCCTCAATGTTGTTCCTGTCCAGGAAGAGCTGGTGGATGGCACTGGGCACTCCAGGGGGCATTTTCCTCAGGATGTTGTGGGCAAGGTTGAGTTGCATGAGGTTCTTGAGTCCCTTGAAGGTGTTTTTGTTGAAGACCCCATCGCTTAGCTTGTTGTGGTGCAGATCCAAGAGCACCAGGTTCTCCAGCTTGTTGAAGACCCCAGCAGGGATCTTGGAGATCTGGTTCCTGCTCAGACGCAGCTGCTCCAGGTTGGGTGGCAGGAAGGCAGGCACCTCCTTGAGCTGGTTCTTCTCCATGTAGAGGAAGATGAGGTTTTCCAGCTTCTCCAGCACTCGCCTGTCCACCTTCCGGATGCGATTGTTGTCTAGGTTGACCCATTTCAGCCCCGTGGCGTTCCTGAAGGACTCCTCTGGGAGGTCATCAATGAAGTTGTTCTGGAGGTAGAGGTAGTGGATGCGGGATGGGATGATGGGGACCTTCCGCAGGTTGCGGCTGTCACAGTAGAGGGCAGAGGGGAAGTCTGGGGGGCAGTAGCATTCTCGGGGGCAGTCGGGGAAGACGGAGGGTGGACCTGGTGGCAGGGGTGGAGGCAGCTCTGTGGGCTCGACAGGCTCAACAAACTCAGGAGGTGGACGGGTGGGTTTCCGGGGAGGCTTCCTCCGCTGCCCGCTCACCTCCGAGATCAGCACAAGAACAAGCGGGAGAAGCAACCTGAAGGCCACCTTCATGGTCCAGATGTTTCCCTGAGGGAGACAACAAGAAGAGGTGGGTTAGGAAGCACCTGATTCAGGTATCACATCATCTCCCATCTCCCCCATCACTGGCAGGTGAGGAATTTACCCCACATCCCTGCCAGTAATCTGTTATTTTTCTCTCCTTCCCCTTGGAAGTTATCTTTAAATCCAGCCCCTCTCTAGACCATGAGTCACTGAGACCCCCTGCTCTGGCTCAGCTTTATGCCACAGTGGGGGTGGTTGTGTTTCACCTGGATTAGGGTTTTTTCACATGCCACCCCCAGCACTGCCCCGCAGACTCTGGCCCCACTGGGACCCCCAACACCACTGTGCCCTCTCCCCTAAGGATGGATTGCCCCTTCAGAGACCTTGATGGATCAGGCTTAATTTTGCACTTGAGCCAAAAAATTAATGATTCAGTAGCAAATTGGGTGAGCACGGGTGTCAGGAGGCCAGCAGCAGCCAGCGTGGCAGCAAAGACGGATGGCCCTGTGCTTCAGGGACAGGGCTTTAACGCAGGACAGCCCATTTCCAAGGTCATGTGATAAAAAGGACATTAGCAAGATTACATATGGGCAATACTGAAGGTGTTTGGATATACGGCTCCCTGCGCTGCCCAAATAACTGATCCATCACCTCCAGTGTCACTGCAGGGAGCTGGGCTGGGCTGGTTATTTGAGGAGGCAGTGAGAAGATCCGGAGGGATCAGACAATGTCTCTGCTTGCCCGTTAGCCAGAGAATTTCTCCTGGGCACCAGCCCAACACCTTAAACATGCCATTTCTCCCTCTTCTCTGGGTCATTATCAAGCCCATGAAGGCTGTCTGCCCCATCTCTGCCCTCCCTGCTACACCAGCAATCGTCCTTGCAAGACTGTTGCCGGTAGCTCTCCAGCTGATGCCTTGGAGGATGGAGGGATCCAGCTTGTTGCAGACGAGCTCCCCAGAAAGCCCCGTGCAGAAGGTGCTTCGGATGCTCTGACACTCCTCGGGGCCAGTTGGAGCAGACCAGGTTGTGGGCAGATCCCTCGGGGTGTTCACCAGGCTTTTCCTAACAGCTTTTGTCACCCCAGCAGGAGCAGAGCCAAGCTGGATGCACAGTGAGGCAGATGGAGGAGCTCAGCAGAGGCAGGGTGGGAAAGAGAATCAAGTGGGATGAGACAGGGAGGAAGAGAGGGAGGAAGATGAGGAGACTCAGAGGAAGACAGATCTCTCGGGGAAACGAAGCATCTGCTGTGGGAGCCAGTGCTGCTGGGACGGGAGCGTGGGGCAGAAGCCTTTGGTGATGCTGGAGCTGGTGATGCTGATGCTGGAGAGAAATCAGGCTCTCCTGGCTCATTGCACTCTCCCACAACCATCCTGCCACACCAACCCCCCGTGGCGTTAAGCGGGGAAGCTTAAAGCTTCCCAGCAGGTCTGCATCCCACCCAGGGCTGTCCTTAGGGCCCCTCGATGGGCCAGTGCTCCCAGGGCTGCTAGCCCCCAGACCGTGCCAGCCCAGCTCCCTTTGAAGCGATCCCACACATTCCTGGGGCTCCAACTAATTGACTTCCTCCAAGTAAAGATCCTGTTCTCGCCCCCCCCTCCAGGCCCAGCCTGTTACTTTCCTTTTTGTCTCGCTCCGCTCCCATCTGGCTCTGTTTAACCCCACCAGCCTCCCATGCTGCTGTTTTCAATCAGGGCTCTGGCATCTCGCTGGGGGAAGGGAGGAACAGGGGAAGAGAAACGGGGCCCGAATGCTGCCAGATACTCAGCTCGGCCGTGCTGCAGTCAGCCCCCCTCGGGGCCGTATGTGCCTGCTTCTGTGTTGCACGAGTACGGACCCAACGGCCGGCTGCAGAGAACGGGGAAAATTCGTGACAGGGAGCTGCTCCACACGCATTCCCCTCTCTGGCCCCGCAGCATCCCGCCCCCCGCCACGCCCCTCCCCTGCACGTGCCTCTCCCCCCACCTTGTCCCAGACTTTACCATGGGATTTTGCCTCCTCTCCAAAACTCAGACCTGGATTTTAACACCCACAACGCCCTGGGGAGAGGCAGGGGCTGAGGTCTGCGTTTGGCACGTGTC